GGTTTGTTCTTGTTCTTGTTGTTGTCATTTTACCCTCACTCACTGAGTAACTACATTTCATCAGCCTCTGGGAAACTCCCTCACTTGCTACACCTTCCACCAAATTAAATACTTAATCCAGGCTGGTGATTCTGACCCTGGCTGAGAACTGCAGGCCCAGAGAATAAATTCAGTAAACCCAGCATGAGGCAGAGGCTAAGCCCCTCTCTGCTATGGGGGTTTGGGGGCTTCCAGGTGGAGCTAGAGCTTCCCAGATAGCTCAATTGGTAAAGAATCTGCCTGCAATGCAGGAGACCCCTGTTCGATTCCTGGGTTGGGAAGATCCGCTGGAGAAGGGATAGGTTACCCACTCCAGTATTCTGGCCTGGAGAATTCCATGAACTGTATAGTCCATGGGGTCGCAAAGCTAGTGGTAAAGAATCCACCTGCCAATGCAGGTAGACCTAAGAGATCCAGGTTCGATTCCTACATTGGGAAGATCCCCTGGAGAAGGAAATGGGAACCCACTCCAGTATTCTTGCCTGGAGAATCCCTTGGACAGAGGCAGGCTACAGTCCATACACTTGAAAACAGTTGGACACGACTGAAGCGACTTAGCATGCACCGTCAAGGTGAAGGCTAGGCCCCACTCTCTCTTTCCTGCTCCCAATCCCAGTTCAGTTCAGTCGCTCAGTCGTGTCCAACTCTTTGTGATCCCATGGGCTGCAGCACAGCAGGCTTCCCTGTCCATCACCAACGCCCAGAGCTTGCTCAAACTCACGTCAGTTGAGTCGGTAATACCATCCAACCATCTCATCTTCTGTCCCCTTCTCTTCCCGCCTTCAGTCTTTCCCAACATCAGGGTCTCTTCTAAGGAGTCATTTCTTTACAGCAGGTGGCCAAAGTATTGTAGTTTCAGCTTCAGCATTAGTCATTCCAATGAATATTCAGGACTGATTTCCTTTTGGATTGACTGGTTTGATCTCCTTGCAGGCCAAGGGATTCTCAAGAGTCTTCTCCAGCACCACAGTTCAAAAGCATCAATTCTACATTGCTCAGCTTTCTTTATAGTCCAACTCTCACATCCATACATGACTACTGGAAAAACCATAGCTTTGACTAGATGGACCTTTGTTGGCAAAGTAATGTCTCTGTTTTTTAATATGCTATCTAGGTTGGCCATAACTTTTCTCTCAACGAGCAAGTGTCTTTTAATTTCATGGCTGCAATCACCATCTGCAGTGATTTTGGAGCCCAAGAAAATAAAATGTTGATTCCATTGTTTCCCCATCTATTTGCCATGAAGTGATGGGCCCAGATGCTGTGATTTTAGTTTTTTAAGCTCAGTTTTAAGCCAACTTTTTCACTCTCCTCTTTCACTTTCATCAAGAGGCTCTTTAGTTCTCCTTTGCTTTCTGCCATAAGGGTGGTGTCATCTGTGTATCTGAGGTTATTGATATTTCTCCTGGCAATCTTGATGCTAGCTTCTGCTTCATCCAGCCTGGCTTTTCACATGATGTACTTTGCATAGAAGTTAAATAAGCAGGGTGACAATATACAGCCTTGACATACTACTTTCCTGATTTGGAACCAGTCTGTTGTTCCATGTTCAGTTCTTTTTTTTTTCCATGTCCAGTTCTAACTGTTGCTTCTTGACATGCATACAGATTTCTCAGGAGGCAGGTAAGGTGGTCTGGTATTCCCATTACTTTAAGAATTTTCCACAGTTTGTTGTGATCGACACTGTCAAAGTCTTTGGCATAGTCAATAAAGCAGAAGTAGATGTTTTTCTGGAATTCTCTTGCTTTTTCTATGATCCAGCAGATGTTGGCAACTTGATCTCTGGTTCCTCTGCCTTTTCTAAATCCAGCTTGAACATCTGGAAGTTCTCAGTTCATGTACTGTTGAAGCCTAGCTTGGAGAATTTTGGGCATCACTTTGCTAGTGTGTGTGAGATGAGTGCAATTGTCCCAATCCCAAGCACTTCTCAAACTTCTTGTCTCAGAACTCCTTTCTCTCCCCCATCTGCAAGCCCCTCCTCCTCTCATCTTGGCCCCTCACCCTTACCCTTGCTCCTCCCACTCAGAAATCTCTGATCTACTAAAATCTACCCTGCAAACCAACCCTTCTCTGCTGGCCCCACTGGAATCTATCTCAGTTTAACATCTTTTCCCTTAGACCTCTCTAGACCAGAGGGGCCCTTGGATTAGAGGAAGCCTCACAAATCTCTGAATTCCCTTGTCCAGCAGGGCTCAGAGATGGCAGAGGAGGTGACAACAATCTGTCAAAATCATGGAAAGGAGTTCGAACAGAAAGCACTGGGGACAAGAAGCCACTTCTCTGATCCCTTCTCCCAAAGTGGGTGTGACTGGAGATCAGCCACAAGCCAGACCCAGGGAGAAGACAAACTCTCCACTAGGCTGTGCTCCTATAGGCTGGTGGATGTAACCCCACCCTGACCAAGTTCCTGGGTTTTGTCATCGCCTGGGCTATTAATTCTTTCACTCTTTGCTGTAACTCACACTTTACTGTCTTTAAAAGAAGGATGTTTGAGGAATTCCCTGGCAGTCTGGTGGTTAGGACTTGGCGCTTTCACTGCCAGGGCCTGGGTTCAATCCCTGGTCAAGGGACTAAGATCCTGCAAGCCTCACAGCTTGGCCAAAAAAACAAAAAGGATGAAAAAAAGGATGTTTTAAAATGTTGCTTAAAAAAAAAAAAGATGTTGCTTTACCTCACAGCCCATATGTGGGAGACCTGGATTCGATCTCTGGGTTGGGAAGATCCCCTGGAGGAGGGCATAGCAACCCACTCCAGTATTCTTGCCTGGAGAATCCCCATGGACAGAGGCACCTGGTGGGTTCCAGTCCATGGGGTCACAAAGAATTGCGCACGACTGAGTGATTAAGCACAGCACAGCACACAGCCCCTGCTGAAAGCTTGCTATAAATAGTTTATTGTAAAGAATAAGAGATGATGCTATTAAAGTACACATGCAGTCGTAGGCTCTGCCAAAGGCTCTTAAGACTTGCTCTCTCTTTGCTAGAGTTAAGAGTCATGAAAGACAGCCTAGCACCAAACTACAATTTTCTCCTCGATGTCATGAAAAGTATTGGAAGAGGTTTGCAAGGGAAACAGCTTTCTCTCTTCACAATAGCATACCCCGGGGCCTCTTTACATCATCCAAAGGGGCACCACACTCTAAAGCTGGCCTGAGGGGGTGGGTGCCAGTCCTGTATAGAGGGAGATGCTACAGAAGCAAGAAAGGCCCCCAAATGATGACAGTTAACGCCTAAGGGTGACCCTGTGTTTCTGCAGATGCCTCCAAGTGATGCTCATCTTTCTAATTGCCTCTCTCCTAACCCTCTGCCCCTCAGTCATAGGGCTCCAAGCCCATCTGCCATGCTGCTCCTCCTACATCCCTCTCAGGTGCCAGCTTCCAAGCCTCCACCCCTGCATCCCAGCTGGCCTCCCCTGGGGCAGAGAGAACTTTACTTTTTGTATGGGTGACCCACATACCAGACAGGGTATGCGTGCTCACTCACAGTCATGTCCAACTCTGGGACCCCGTGAACAGTACCATGCTAGGCTTCCCTGTCCTTCATTATCTCCCAGAGTTTGCTCAAACTCATGTCCATCAAGTCGGTGATGCCAACCACCTCATCCTCTGTTACCCTCTTCTCCTGCCCTCAATCTTTCCCAGCATCAGGGGCTTTTCCAATATTCGTGCCCAAAACAACAGAACAGCCAGATGCTGCACTAGGCCCACTGGGGATGTGCAACCTCAGGTGAAGGACCCTATGGTGGTTCTGAGCCTCAGTCTGCCCATCTGTAAAAGGGGACTCATAAGGGACCCCCAGAACCCACTTTCAGAGGGGTTCTCTGAGTATTCAGTGTGGCCTGAAGCAAAGAACTTTCAAGTGTAAAAAGCTCAGAAGTTTGCTCAGGAAGCAGGTGCTGTAGTTAGCATGACCATGTTCAGCTTCTCTACCTGGGTCCTCCTAAAGAAGCAGCACAGAGGCCAGCACTGGGGCCAGGCAAACCCCAGGGTCAACCCCCAATTCCACTTCCTGGAGTTGTTATAGTGGAATTCTAAGGAATTCCACTTCCTTAGACAAAGGCTGCCTTGCTCTGGGCCTCAGTCCTCTTGTCTGTAAAATGGGGTTAATAGCCATTCCTCCTGCTGAGAATGGTAGAGGGGGTTAAAGGGCAGATGTCTGTTGAGGTTTAGAACTGGGCTCCATTCAGGGTGACCCTCCATAAGTGTGGATGTTACATTAGTGAGTGCGAAGGGCCCAGCACGGTATCTAACCCACAGGAAATACACAGGAAGTGAAACCTATTCTTCTCATGTATATTTATTTTAAATCATTTAATACGTAGCCCTCCCACCTGTTTGTCCCTGGAAAACTCAGACACTGCTTCTAGCCCTGCATTTCACAATGGATGCCTCAAATCAGTCGGGAGCATCTGCTGTTGCCACTGTTACCTCTGGGTACTCCCCGAGCCACCTCGGTCCCAGGCCCCTCCCTTTGAGGCCTCAGAAATGTGACAAGTCCGTTTTGTCCAGCAAGGGGCTCCTTTTATTCATTTGGCTGGGGGGTGTTCTGAAATGCGGTGCAACGTTATAAAGTCAAGGGTGCCTGGAAAGTGAGCCTGCCAGGTACAGGAAAGTGCAAGAAGCCTGCAGAGCCTCCCGGCCCGATGGGCATCCAAGACTTGCCTTTGGTCGCAACTGGTGGCCCAGGAGGGGCCAGGGAGACTTCGGAATGAGATCAGAATGCCTGCTCCATCTGAAGCTTGGGACCACATCTGTCCATTCATCATCTCCCTGTGTACAAGAGTGTGCAAAATCAATCTGAAAACAGCTTTACTCAGGAATCACAGAATCGGCTCCTCCACTCAGTGCCTCTTGGACTGAGAAGCACTCTGGCCGTGCGGGAAGGGTCAGGCAGTTTCTGTCCTTCTGAACACTAGGGCATTGCCAGCTGCCTCTGGCCCAGCCAGCAAGGCTAGCCTGGCCTTCACACGGGCGTCTCTTCAGCCACCTTCTTCAGGAGTCCGGCCGCCAGCGGGCAGTGCTGGCTGCCCTCGGAACCATCAGCTTGCATCTTCAGGCGCACTTTCTGGTTGGTCCTTCTCCATTCGGAGTACAGCTGGCAATGGTAGCGGAATGAGACCTGCAGGGCAGGGTGGACATGAGCGGGAGGGCCAGTGGCTGGAAAACTAGCACCCCTGGGGCCTCTGCCCTGACCCAGATCAGCACCAGGCCCCCGCTGCCAGAGGCAGCAGCAGCATCAAAGCAGTTCGCACATGGACAGAGCACACTCACCCACTCACTCGCCCAGGGACCCTCCCCACCAGCACTGAGGGGCCCTGCCAAGGGTGTGTGTTTGTGTGCATGTGTGTGTAGAGGGGGGTGGTCCCTTTCTGTCTCTCAGAAGGTGGCAGTGAAGTGACACAGCCTCTTGCATGCATGCGTGCTAAGTCACTTCAGCCATGTCTGACTCTGCGACCCTATGGATGGTAGCCTGCCAGGCTCCCCTGTCCATGGGATTCTCCAGGCAATAATACTGGAGCGGGTTGTCATGCCCTCCTCCAGGGGATCTTTCCGACTCAGGGATCGAACCTGTGTCTCTTGAGTCTCCTGCATTTGCAGGTGGATTCTTTACCACTAAGCACCACCTGGGAAGCCCATTAGAATATTAGTCAGCTCTAAAAAGAAATGAGCTATCAAGCTGTGAAAAGACACGGAGGAATCTTAAATGCACACGACTGGATGAAAGAAGCCAATCTGGAGAGGCTTCAGGGAATTCCCTGGTGGTCCAGCAGTTAGTAGGACTCGGCACTTGCACGTTTAAAAAGACTACTTACTGCAAGACTCCATCTCTATGACATTTTTGAGGAAAGGCAAAACTATGGAGACAGTAACAAGATCAGCGGTTTTCCAGGGATCAGAGGGGGAGGAGGGATGAATAAACAGAACACAGCATTTTTAGGGCAGTGAAAATACTCTGTATGATACCATAGTGGGAGATACATGTCTTTATACGGTGGTCTAAATCCACAAATTGTTCCACACCAAGGCTGAACCCCATACGGTGGTCTAAATCCACAAATTGTTCCACACCAAGGCTGAACCCCATACGGTGGTCTAAATCCACAAATTGTTCCACACCAAGGCTGAACCCCTAATGTAAATTGTGGCCTTGGGTGATGATGCATCAGTGTAGGTTCATCGACTGGAATGGACGTGCCGCTCTGGTGCCATGTTGAGAGTTGCGGAGGCTGGGCAGGTGTCGGGGAGGATTTTGGAGAACTCTGTACTTTCTGCTCCATTTTGCTGTTAAACCTTGAACTGCTCTAATGAATCAAAACTGTTAAAAAAAAAATTTTTTTTTCCCCAGTAAATGTCAGTGGTTCCTACTCTTTGACCAAGGAAGTTCCAAGAAACATTTGCATAGGTGGCACCCAAAGCACTGTTTATAACAGCAAATAAAGGGGAAGGAAAAAAAAATTGGAATAATCCCTGTGTCCATCAAAAGAGATTAGTTAAATAAATATAGCACACCCACACAATGAAGGACTGTTGGGTGACTGCCTTTTTTTTTTAAAGGACATTAGCAAAGTGAAAACAAGCAGACTGCAAAGCAGGACCTATGATGCATCCCACTTGTATTAAGAAATCTGCTAAAAAAAAAAAAATCTGCTAAAAAAAAAAAAAAGAAATCTGCTTGGTGGGTGCACTGGCAAATAACTCTTGAGGAGGGGGCACCCCCATAGCTGGATGACTGTGTTTCTATCTGTGGGACCAGATGTTGGGGACCTTCTGTCCCTGACTGAGGGTTCTCATGCCTGCCAGAACCTGGGTACAACACCCCCACCACACTCACTCTCTCCCAACCCCAGTCACCTTTTCTCTCAGTCTCTTTATTTTTTATTTTTTGGCTGCACCACATGGCCTGTGGGACCTCAGTTCCCTGACCAGGGATCAACCCAAGTCCCCTGCACTGGCAGCCTTAACCACTGGACCACCAGGGAAGTCTCTCTCAGTCTCTCGAGCATCCTCTCTGTCTCTCTCATTCTCCTGCCTTTTCTCCCACAGTCTTTCCAGTGGCTCTCTGCCTCTCTCCCTTCCCTTGCCCCCAAAACCCAGACAGTCCAGTCTTCATGGGGCTTGTGGCTGGCAAGGCCTGCACTCAGCTGAAATGATCCCATGACCTTGCATTCCTGGGGTAGAAGCCTTACGCTTGGCTCCCTGGACCTTGCACCGGCCTGCAATCTGGAGCTCCATGAGATGCTGGGAGTTGCTTCTACCCCAGGGGCCAGCCACAAGTCCAAGCAGTCAGAGTGCTACCCCAACCCCCACCCCAGCTCCATCCAAGCCACTGCCCAAGCCCCTGACCTGTCTGCTCCCAGATGTCTGCTGTCTGGCTGGCAGCCACTCACCAGCGTCCAGAGGACATAGATGGTGAAGAGGGCGATGGTGAGGGCGATCAGCCCCAAGGCCTCCAGATGGCTGTGGAGCCGGAGGTGGTCCTGGGCTCCCCGCAGGCACAGCCAGCCTGAGATAGCGGCCAGTGGAGTGATGAACAGGAAGCACACCACGTCACAGCACAGCGTCCGCTTCTCTGTCCGAGGCCCTGGGTCCTTCAGCCACTGTGGGGAAGGAGGGAGGGGGAGCCGGTGAGAGGAACCACCACACACCGCCCTGTTATGAGCCCATGCCAGGGGATGGGGCATCAGGGGCCCCTCTGCAGACACCCATCTTCATTGCTGTTCCTGCAGGACCCTACTCCTGCCTTGCCTCCTGCAATCCTTTCTTTCTTTCAGATACTTACTGAGATGATGACAGGACAGGCCTGGGTAGGTGCGGGGCATTTCTGCCCCTGGTTTTGTTTTTTGGTTTTTTTTTGCCACATCATGAGGCTTGTAGGATCTCAGTTCCCCGACCAGGGATAGAACCTGCACCTCCTGCAGTGGAAGCTCAGTTGAGTCTTACTCTCTGTGATCCTAAGGACTGTAGACTGCCAGGCTTCTCTGTCCACGGGATTCACCAGGCAAGAATACTGGAGCAGATTGCTGTTTCCTCCTCCAGGGGATTTTCCCAACCCAGGGATTGAACTTGCATCTCCTGCATCTCCAGCATTGGCAGACTGATTTTTTTTTTTTTAACCACTGAGCCACCTGGGAGGCCCTAGTTGAAGTGCGGAGTTTAACCACTGGACCGCCAGGGAAGTCCCATTCCTATTTTACAGATGGGGGAAATGGAGGGCATAGAGGGGCTGACCCCTTTGTGCAAACTCACATGGCTAGTGGTCTACAAAGCCAGAACTGGAGCTCAGGAAGTCTTGCCCCAGGGTCTGTGCGTCCTTGGCTGCTATGCTACACTGCCTGCTACAGATGATGGGTGGTAGGAATCCCCGCCTGGAGCTCCCCTGCTGGTTGGGGGGGAGAGGAAATGACTGAACGGTCAGGGTGGGGACTGCTATGCTGAAGAGGTAATGCTGCAGAGGCCGAGTTGAGCAGAAGGAACCTCATGAGGCATGGGGGAGACGTGCTCCAGGCTGCAGACACAGCACGTGCAAAGGCACGGGGGGAGCACGTGGTCCACACAACAGGCAGTGGGGAGAGGGTGAGGTGTGTGGACAGGCCGGCTTGCCCTCCCACTGTTCCCTTAAGAGTAGGTCCCACGTGGGCCAGGGGCTCTTCCAGGAGCCCCCACCTCAGCCCAGTGACATCACCCCTCGTAGTTCTCAGATGCCCTATGCCAAGCCAGGCTGGGCAGGGAGGAGTCTGGAGGGCACCCTGGTGAGCAGCAACTGCTCTGGGAAGCCGTGTGGCCCCCACTACACTTGGAAGTACCCTGTCTCGATCCCAACCCCCTGCACTCAAGCTGAGCTCTAGGGATTGGCCCACAAAGTCCCCCGGCCAGGTCACCACCCCTCCTTCAGGGCCACTGTCCTCCTTCTTTAACTCCCTTCTCTCCACCCATGTGGGCTTAGCCAAGGACACCAAGCTCCTCCTTGAAGGAGGCCTCAGGGCCTTTGCACCTGCTGTGCTCCCTGCCAGGACTGTCCTTCCCCAGGCTGGGGCTCCTCGTTCCTCAGGTCTCAACTCTAGGGCCACCTGAAGTGACCAAGCAGGGAAGACGCACAGGAGCTGTCAGATCTGGAACCTCAGGCCTGGTCCCACCCCCATCAGCAGAAGTGGCCCCGGGGAGGGGAGAGAGGGTCCTCCCCTTAGAGAAGCTGATTCCCCAGCCCACTACGATCCTCCAAGGCCATTTCCTCCTCCGGCCCCATGTCTGCCTTCCTCCCTTCTCCCAACTCCAGCCTCCGGCTCCCAAGCGTACCTCTGTGAGAGATCGGGACCGCTTCTCCACCGCAAACTCCGTATGGCACAGCTCGCAGTAGCTGGTGTTGGACGAGGAGAGCCACCTCTCCAGACAGCTCTTGTGCACGGCGCCCAGCGTTCCAGTGCACCCACATGGAGACAGCAGGCTTTCCCCATTTGCCCCCTCATGGCAGATCCGGCAGAAGGGGCCATCACTAGCACAGAGATGGGACACATGAGTAACGGTCGCGCCTCCTGCCTGCTCCTGCTTCACTCTGCCCTGGATCGCAAGCTCAGTGCTGCCCCATATATACTACTATTTGGCAAACTCTTATTCATCCCTCAATGCCCAGCTCCAAATGTCCTTTTCTTGTGGAAAGCCTTCCCAGACTCCCACAGCAGGAGTGCTGTGCTCCCCCCCCAGGGTTCCTGCAGCATCGTTTGAGGCCCAGGGGGGGCATCACTTGTACCTGCTGGCCCAGTGTCTGCTCCTCCTTCTATACCACCACCCTGACTGTGCTGGGCAACTGCCCCAATCTCAAGAGGACAACCCTGATGACCCCAGGCCTGACCAATCAAAACACCACACATCTTTGGTCACAGAGGCTGACTCAGGGAAGGGCACATGTGATGCAGAGCCACTGGAATTGACTCCTGAAATTCTTCTTTTTTTCTTCTAAATTCCAGAACTACAGGCAGCATGGCTGATGTAAGTCTGGAGCTGCTGGCAGCAGCTTGGTCTCCACCTGGAGTCTGCAAATGATGCTAAAACAGAGGATCATGGAGCCAAAAGATAGGGAGAGGCAGATTCTCAAGAACATCATCAGAAGCACCAGATCCAGCCACAGCTGAAGGCCATGCCACCTGAGAAACCTGTGTGTCCCAGGAGAAGAGCTCCTGGGCTCCTCCACTCTACTAAGGCTGGGAAAACAGACATAAAAAGGCATCTACAGGAAGCCATTTCCCATTTCAGGGAAGTCTCTGCCCCAGTCTGGTCTCAGGGGATTCTGGGTCCTTCCTGGGGCAGTTCAAGAGACCAGGGGAGTGGCCGTGGTGGGCCCTGAGGCTATCCAGCACATGAGTCATTGTTTTCCAGACATTTCTGCCCAGAAAGTGGATTGCAGGAACACATGAAGGAGGTGGAGCAGGAGAGCTGTTTTCCAGATAACACCGCAAGTTTCCCCTAGGAAACTTTCTCTCCTTTTCTCCGTGTCTCTACTGTGGGGCTGGAGCCCAGCTGCTTCGAAACCCAGGAGCTGAGAGCTGACACCTCAGGTCTGCTTTCTGGCCCTTGGTGCTATGTGTGGGGTGATGCTTTCTCCTCCGACATCAAAAGGGCCTGCCCGGCTCCCCTGTGCTCCCACACCCTGGTCCCATGTTCCCGACACACAATGAGTGAACAGCAAAGACATCCCTGCTCCAGGAGCCAAGCCAGGAAGTGGAAGTAACGAGGACCAGGAGGGAGAGTCACGTTGGTTTGGGGGGTATGTCCCGGGGAACCCTACTTAGGAGGTTCAAGTTCAGAGAAAATGAAATATGGGTAAACAAAGCCCACACTGACTATGATGGAGTGCTGATCAGGTCCCATGCACCATTCAAAGGGCGACATCGGGGTTAATCTGTCTCGTTCTCACAGGGAGCCTGGGAGGAAGGTGCTGTTATTGCCCCCATTCCACAGATGTGGAAACTGAGGCATCGAGAGTTTGACTTCATTGTGCCAGGTCACACTGGATTTGAACCCAGAAAGTCGCTCCAAGGCCTGTGAACCCGGAGCCACTAGGTTGCCTGCCCCCAGAAGTAGGGCAAGAGAAGTGGGCTCTACTGTTTGAAATTCTGGCAGGAAAATCATGCAGAGGAAACAGGACAGGAGAAAATGGGATGGGGGAGTGGGTGAGACATCCACAGGCCCCAGTCGGGCTGCCGAGTGCAGGCTCCACAGAAGAGAGATGTGAACAAAAATGGAAATGGAAGCCATGCTCAGTGACACTGGCAAGTATCCAGTTCCCTCCAGGCCTCGGTTTATGCAGGTGTCAAAAGGGAGGGTGGGGTGAGGTGCCCCACGGGAACCCCACGGAGGGAGAAGCCCTCCCCACCCCCCATGCTGGCAGCTCTGCCTGGGAACCCCCTAGGCCTGCCATGGGTCCCCTCACTCCCAGGCTGGGTCATGCAGCACAGACACCTTCCTGACTCAAGGGGTCTGATGGAGATGCAGACAGAAAAACTGAGACCCTGGAGGAAGCCCAGAAGGAGCCCTCCAGTCTCATCTGGGCTCAGGCAAGGCAAAGACCTGTAGGGTCGCCAGCACTGGGCTCCCTCCACAACACGGCAAGTCTTCCATCTGCTTCCTTGTATGTTTGAATGAAAAGTTTATGAATTAATTCTGACACCTGCTACCCATGTGGATGAACCTTGAGGGCGTGACACTCAGTGAAATAAGCCGGTCACAAAAGGACAAAGACTGGCGAATTCCACTTCTACGAGTTTTCTAGAGGAGTCAGATCCAGAGACAGAAAGTAGGAATGGTGTGGGGCCCTGGGGCTGAGGAAGGGGGAGGGGGAGTGAGTGTTTAGTGAAGACAGAGTGCAAGATCAAAAGAGCTATGGGGCGGGGGGGGACGGATGGGGGACTTCCCTGGTGGTCCAGTGGTTAAGAAACTGCCTTGCAATGCAGAGGACATGGGTTCGATTCTCGGTCAGGAAACTAAAATTTCACATGCTTCAGGGCAATTAAGCCAGTGTGCTGCAACTACTGAGCCTGTGTGCTCCGGAGCCCGCACACTACAGCTAGAGAGTCTGTGACCCACAGTGAAGATCCCAAGTGCTGCAACGAAGACCTGAGATGGCCAAATAAATAAATAAATATTAAAAAAAAAAAAAAACAGTCATGGGGCTGAATGATGGTGATGGTTACACAACACCATGAGTGTACTTAAAGCCACTGAACAGTACACTTTCAAGTGGCCGAAAAGGTAAATTGTACGTTATATCTTAACCATAAAAAAATTGGAAGGAAAAGTTTATGAATTTGATGATCTCAAGGAAACATCACGGTAATACGTTAAACTTGAAAAACTGTTGGCTAGTTTAAATCTTGAGTTAAGGCAGATTTAAGTTGGTGTGGGGTTTACTTGGGCTTCCCAGGTGGTGCTAGTGGTAAAGAACCCACCTGCCGACGCAGGAGACATAAGAGACCAGGGTTCCATCCCTGGGTTGGGAAGAATCCTTGGAGGAGGGCACGCCAACCCACTCCAGTATTCTTGCCTAGAGAATCCCATGGACAAAGGAGCCTGGCGGGCTACAGTCCATAGAGTTGCAAAGAGTCAGACACGAATAAAGCTCCTTAGCATGCACACATGGGGTTTCCTTAAATCTCTTTCCCTTGATGACAAGTTGTTGAACCAAGCAGAGTCAGCTCACACATGTGTCTGGAGGATTGGCACCGAGGTTTAAATACATTAATCGAAAACTTTGCATGATCAGTCACTTCAGTTGTGTCCGACTCTTTTGCGATCCCATGGACTGGAACCCGCCAGGCTCCTCTGTCCATGGGATTTTTTAGGCAAGAATACTGGAATGGGGTGCCATTTTCTCCTCCAGGGGATCTTCCCAACCCAGGGATCGAACCTGTGGCTCCTGATTCTTTACCACTGAGCCACCAGGGAAGCATTATGAGCTGGCAAAGCCCCTTGTGAGCGATATATAGGGATCATGGCCATGCACTTTCAGAACCACCCAGCGAGAAGGTGCCCCAGTTTAGAGACACAGGGGAGCAGCAACTTTTCCCAGTCCTATACCAAGAGAGGCTCCCACTTGGGCCCTGAGCCCAGGTACCCTGAGGCTACAACCAGCACTACCAGCTACTTCCTTGTGAAGGCTCCCCAAGATGTGAGCTACTCCCCAACATCAGATCTCCAAACTTCACCCAGTAATCTGGAGTTTCAGCTTTTCCTGAAGAATCTGACCTGTCTACCCAGTTTCCATGTGGTGATTACTCACTGGGCCCCTTGCGCTGATTTATTTGCCTATCTGGGTCCGCTGCTGCTGCTGCTAAGTCGCTTCAGTCCTGTCGCCGACTCTGTGCGACCCCATAGATGGCAGCCCACCAGGCTCCTCCGTCCCTGGGATTCGCCAGGCAAGAACAGAGGAGTGGGTTGCCATTTCCTTCTCCAATGCATGAAAGTGAAAAGTGAAAGTGAAGTCGTTCAGTCGTGTCCAACTCTTCAAGAACCCATGGACTGCAGCCTACCAGGCTCCTCCGTCCATGGGATTCTCCAGGCAAGAGTACTGGAGTGGGGTGCCATTGCCTTCCCCACCTGGCCCCTCTAGGTGGTGGATTTTTCTTTTCTGTTGTTTGGCTGCACCACTCAGCATGTGGGATTTTAGTTCCCCAACCATGGATGGAACCCACAACCCCTGTGGTGAAAGCGTGGGAGTCTTAACCATTGGACTGCCAGGGATATCCCAGGCGGTTGGATTTCTGACTGCGGGCGGGGCTGGGAGTAAACTGTTGGGGCTGGAGAGTGAAGCAAGTGAAAGCATCAATTCCTGCTCAGTCACCACTCACCTTGGTGTGTCCAAGGCCCGGATGACAGTCGAGAGGAGCCGGCCATCCCTTGAAGTCACCTGGGCCACATACTGGGGTGGCCCGAGGCCAGTGGCCTCCACGACCTTGGAGAAGGCAGGGCTGTCGGAGCAGTCACACAGGGAGCCAGGGAGGTGACAACAGTCACCCGTCGTCATGGCCACAGGGAGCCCCGTGTCCTCAGGGCCCAAGGCCCATGGTCCCAGGAGCCTGGGGAGAGGCGGGCAGGAGGATCAAGAGCAAAGTTAGCAAGCCACACACAGCCCAGAGCCAGCTCTCTGAGCTGCAGTTGTCCAATCTGTAAGATGCGGCTTTGGAGGGGGGCTATGAGGATTCAGTCAGGTCACACATGCAACTCAGGCCAGGCCTGGCACATCTCAGGGGCCTGGCTATATTCTCTCTGACTCTCCTAAGAAAGGTCAGCCTGGTCTGGCCTGCAAAGCATGCAGGACGTCACCTTTCCAGCCTGGACAGCAGCAGCTAACAGTGACTGAATACCTTCTGTGTGGTAGGCCCAGTGCTCGGTGCTCTCCAGCACTAGAACCATCCCTGCCAAAACCATGGAGAGACTGTTCCCCGTGGACTGGATTCCCAGGGTTGGACTCAGAGAGGATAAGCCCGCCAGGGAGTGGGCTGGAACTGAGTTACAAACTGGGCCCAAATGACCAGGACGGTGAGTCATTTTGACCGTGCTGGTTCATGGCTTCTTGTCAGCTCTGAGTTTCTTGATAATTCAGGCTATCAAGGAAGTGGTAGTCCAGAATGGGGTAGTGTCTGTCCCCACCCAGAAGAGCAACCACTTGGAGCGGTGCCTCTGTCCCCAAGGAAAGGCCATGGGAGACAACCAGAGCCTCAGACAGCAATCTGAAGTCTGCTCTGGTGGTGCGGGTGGGGACTGACTTCAGCAGGATTCCATCCTCCTACCTCCCCACCCCAGGGTCTGACCTGCAGGAACCCTTGGCAAGCTCCTCTTCCATCCCAGAACCAACCAGCAAGGCTTGTGTGTTTCCCTGTAAGAATTTCATGAAAGGGACTGAGGCCTCTGGAAGCCAATACAGGTGTCCCAGAGCTTAGGATCTCTGTCCCAAACTTATCTCACCCTCCACCGTCTGTCCCCAGGAACTGTGGCCCAGAGACCCCAGGAACACTCACCGAGGTAACCCCCCACACACACGTGGTTTTTACCCACTCTTGCTAGTCAATCTCTGAGAGCCAAAGAGGGGCGGAGGGAAGCAGTGCAAGTCACTGGCTAACTTTTTGCACCAGGACAGTCTCCTGCCAGATCAACAATCTCTGAACAGCTCAGCCAGAAGTGCTCTGGGCCCAATAGGCCCTTCTGAGCCTCCTAAGTGGGGCCACACAGTCAGCCAGATAAGCAAGTGTCAGCCCAGAGGCAGGAGGAGCCTGGGAGGAAGGCTGCATGACCGAGATAACACCCACAGGGCAGTGGCCAGGCTGCCACGTCATGCACACTACTGTCCCTCCCAAGTGAGGCCAGCAGGGAAGTTGCTGGGCTACCCAAGGGAAAGGCTGCAGAGGGGACTCCACGCCTCTTGCCCCTCCAAGGATTGGCCTTCACATTTCTGCAAGTAATTGGGCGTCCCAAGACACATCACAGCTCTGCATTAAATTTTACCATTTCTTTTATTGTCAGGGAAAAGCAATAACAGAACCAAAACAACACTGGTAAAATCTGCTCCTGCAAATCAACCAAATGATGCTAGCAGCTACTGCAATATAAACTCATGGTTGCCGGGGGAAGGGATAGTTAGGGATATTGGGAAGGTCATGTACACACTGCTATATTTAAAATGGATAACCCACAGGGACATTTTGTAGAGCACAGGGAACTCTGCTCATATTATGTGCGTGCTCGGATGAGAGAAACTCTGTTACTTTCATGTAATTCTCAGAGGGAAACACACAAGCATTATTGGCAGGTTCTGGGATGGGAGGGGGGTGGGTGTTGGAATGGATACATGTATATGTGTGGCTGAGTCCCTTCCCTGTTCACCTGGAACTACCACAACATTGTTAATCGGCTATACCTTAGTACAAAATAAAAAATTTGAAAAAAAGATAATAGTGGCTACTGTAAATTAAGTAACTGCTGGGACTTCCCTGGTGGTCTAGTGGCTGAGACTCTGTACTCCCAATGCTGGGGGACCAGGCTGGATCCCTGGTCAGGGAACTAGATCCCACAAGCCTTGACTAGAGATCCTACATGCTGCAACGAAGACCCAGCTCAGTGACCGCATGGACTGTAGCCTGCCAGGCTCCTCTGTCCATAGAATTCTCCAAGCAAGAAAACTAGAGTGGGTTGCCATTCCCTTTTCAGAGGATCCTCCCTATCCAGAGATCGAACCCAGGTCTCCTGCATTGCAGGCAGATTCTCTACCATCTGAGCCACCGGGAAAGCCTATTATATAAATTCAAAAAATATATATATATTTTAAAAGGTACCTAACCTTAGTGTTATATTTAAAATGGATAACCAACAAAGGCCTATTATATTGCACATAGAACTCTGCTTGGTGTTAAGTGCCAGCTTGGATGGGAGGGTGGTTTGAGGGGAGAATGGATACATGTGTATGTACCACTGAGTCCCTTTGCTGTTTACCTGAAACTATCACAATGTTGTTAATTGGCTATACCCCAATACAAAATGGTGTTAAGAAACAACAAATATTTAAAAAAAGAAAAGGTACCTGCTGCAAGCCAGGCACTGTGCTAAGTTTATTGAACTCCAATAGTTATGTTTCCTTCAAAGGTCATCTCCCCAGAGAGGCCTTCCCTGATCACTCTGGTCAAAGTGCTACTCATGTCCACATTATTGTCCTCACAGATGTGTCCCTCTCTGAAATGCTCTTATTTCTTTCTCTTTTTTTTTTTGCCACATAGTGAGGCTTGTAGGATCTTAGTTCCTTGACGAGGGATTAAACTGAGGCCCTCAGCAATGAGAACGCAGAGTCTCAACCACTGGACCACCAGGGAGGTCCCATTAATGTTCTTATTTCTTCATCTGCTGGTTAAACGACATCTGTCTTCCACCATCAGCCATCTCCAGCACCTGATCCAACGTCCGGTACACAGTTCCTGTGTTAATTCCTCAGCCCCTCTTCTGTGTAAGAGTAGGGTGGGAGAGGCAAGTCCCTTGACCCCCTAGACCCTGGTCTGCCAGCACCCAAGATGGGAACCAGTAATCTTCAGAGGCTGGAGACCTGTGCAAAGCACAGAGGCTTGGGCTCAGGAGAGGCCAGTCTCGAGCCTGGATGCAAGGGTAGGGTGGCTGCAGGCTGGACTCAGCTCTGGGGCTGCTGGGAGGGGTGACTAAGCCAACGCCTCCAGCAAACTTGGCCCAGTGCCCGGGAGATGGATTTCACTGAATCTTCACAACAAACCTATGATGGAAGTCCAATAACTACCCCCATTTGACAGGTGAGGAGGCTCAGAGAGGGGCAGTTACTTGCCCAAGATCACACAGCTAAGTTGGGACAGTGCAGGATTTGAATTTAGTCCAGTGAGTGCATCTGGGACCCAAGAAATCTGGGTTCTTTTAAGTCCTGACTCTGGTGCTCATGCTATGTATCCTGAGACACCTGGCTTCTCTAGGCCTCATTCTCCTCTTTTGACAAATAAGTTGATGAAGCTAGTGGACCGTGTCTGCTGAAGGGCTTCATAAGAAGAAGCCCCCAGGCTCAATTCCTCCAGCGAAGCTCATCTTGGGCTAGGCTTATCTGGGGTTGCACGGGGGCACCACAACCTTTTGAAGAGCTTCTTTTTTCTGAGGGCAGGAAACTAAGGGAAGAAGAGTCAGATGGCCCTAACTCCCCCACAGTGTCATCTCAGTTCAGTTGCTTCACTCCTGGGCCTCAGTTTTCTCTTGTATAACGGGGGTTGCAATGAGACCCAGCTCACATATGCATAAGCATGAATAAGTTGATAAATTTTAGCTCTTATGATAATTATCGGCCTCAGCTTACATACAGCTGTTGGGAGGGTCTGATGACACAAGGCACAGTCAGTGCCTGGCACACAGTAAGCACTCAACAAATGCTCACAGCTATTATTTTTTTAGGATAAATGTGTCGCCTGTGAAATGCATTCATTCCTCTTCACTCAGCAAAGAGAAGCTCCTGTGTGCCTTCAGCATTTGCACAGCCCTGCACTGGAGGCCAGACTCAATCCCAGCTGTGATTTTTACTCACTGTGTAGCCCTGGTTGAAAGGCTGGCCCTCTCTGGGCCGTGACTTCCTCAGCTGTATAGCAGAGAAGGGGCTTCCCTGGTGGCTCAGTAGCAAAGAATCCACCTGCCAATGCAGGAGATGTGGGTTCGATTCCTAGGTCAGGAAGACCCCCTGGAGAAGGAAATGGCAACCCACTCCAGTATTCTTGCCTGGGAAATCCCATGGACAGAGGAACCTGGTGGGCTACACTCCATGGGGTCGCAAAAGAGTCAGACACGACTTGGCCACTAAACAAACAACAACACAGCAGGTACATTTCTAGTACTTTCACTTGATATTGTCACTAGAGGACTAAATGGACTAAACCTATAAATTCTGGCTGTCCTGTTTTGAGCACCCACTAACAGCCACGCTCTCTGCTAAGCAAATGCCTGGGTCATCATCTTGACTATTTTCCTGGCAGAGCCCTTCTGAGGAGGAGGCTGGGGAAGGTGACTGGTCACTTATTGACCGCCTACTATACACAGGGCGCTTTCTTCATTTGCACCTCCTTAATCTTCACAACAGCCCCGTCAGGTTGGTCCTGGGATGACCTAGTTTCACAGATGGGGAAACTGAGGCTCAGAGAGGCACCTACTCTGCGCCAGCCCCCCGGAGACCTCCTGCCTTCCACAAAGACGGAAATTGAGACCACCAAGTCGCTGGGAAGGCTGAGGCCGACGGTCCGAGCCTGGCCGTCCTTCAGGGAGCCGGGCTCGGGCCTCGAACTCTGGACCATCTCCCAGAACGGCACCCCTCCCCCTCATCCTCCCGCCTGTGCCCACCTGATCCGCGGCCGGGCCGGGCGGCCGCGCAGGCCCCTTCGCTCGCCCGGGCCCTGGTCCCGGCCCGGCCGGTCCCGTCAGCGCCGCTAGCTCCGCTCTGGCCGGTATCTGCGTCCGGACACCGCCCGCCGAGCAGACGGTGTCATG